AGAGGCACATGGAGAGGCATGTGGAAAGGCTCGTGGAGAGGTTCATGGAAAGGCTCACAAAGACGCTGATCCCCTGCGGGCGCGGAGCCAATAAATACGAGCAGCCCGGCCCAGCTCAGTGCGTTACTGCGCGTTATACACACGGGCCGTTACGTCAGCCAGGATCGCTTTGGGCTGCGGCGGTATGGTTGGCAGCTGCCCTGCACGGCAGGGCACTCATGGTGCTTATTGGAGCTAACTATATCGGCAATGAGCCCACACGGAGAGGGGTTTAAGATGAAATAAAATAAAGCAAAAACTTATACCTTTCTGGAACTTAACGGGAGCAGCGGTGAGGGGGGGGGGCTGAATAGCTGGCGCCCGCCCACAGCGCACTGGTACATTTACTACTGGGCTGGGTACGATGCGGACGTTATTTGCACTCCATTGTCGTATGCTCCTTATTCGCACGACGCGGAGCAGCCGGCCGAGCCGCACCGCGTACGGTACGCCGATCACATACACGGTGCCCTCGCGATTCCCCACTAACGATAGCACAGTGTGCTTTTATTGCTCTCGTTGGCGTCGCTCTGGTCCGGCCGGGCCTGGCCAGCGAGAGGGTTATTAATTATGTGAATGCTGGAGAGGCGTAGTACTCTCGCTCTTCCGCGCCGCGCCCTGCCCCTGTCCCTGCCCTGCACGGTGGTGCTGCCCAGCTAGGCCCCTCGGCCCCGGCAGCCGCCCTGCGGACCGAGCAGTAAATCATGCGACGAGGCGGGCGAGGCCACAAGCGGCGCGTATACGAGCTTGCACATATGTACCGTATTAGAAGAAGAAAACGCACACGCACGAGACATCGGAAACTTCTCCGACCCCTGTGAGCTGCATGAGGTGGCGGCGGCGGGAGCAAACCGCACGCACGCACGGACGGACGCTCGCGACCCCTTTCGGCGCGTGCCGGCGTCTGCGGCCGCCATAGGCCCCCGAGCGACCCCGCCGCGGGGGAGGTCCGCCCGGCCAGCCCCAGCCACTCGGGCGAAGAAAGTAACCGTATGACCTCACATAACGTTGCCTTTCAGCAACACACACGGGAAAAAATATGAAAAGGAAAAAAAAACCGAACAACTCCCTCACGTCATCTGTACAGTACATCGCCTTTTTGCATATGAGGCTGCCGGCGGGCGTCGCCGCTAAACGGTTTTGGTGAGTGAGAGAGGGGCGCTGAATAAAGAGGGACAGGCAGAGAGAGAGGGGCACTCGGGGAGGGCCAGGACAGGTGTTGCGACGGCCCGCGGCCAGCCACGCGACTCAGTGGCGCCATCGCGGGACGGGGCGACGCGGGCCGGTCTGCATGCATTATGTTTTGCCACGGGTCACGCCGCGGGTCTCCCTGCTGCTGCTCACCGCGTTCCTTTTCAAACGGCAGCCAGAGGGTCCCCCCGCGCCACGATACTCGCACGTACCCGCGCCACGATACTCGCACGTACCCGCCATACCGCCGCCGGCTCGACCTGGAGAAATATGGAAAACGCCGTTGTCGCTCAGCAGCAGCAGCGGCGGCCTGCAGCAGGCCAGGCTGCTGCAGCGGCGAGTGACAGTCGCAGCCGTTGCCTGCAGCCAGCGGGGTGTTTTACTGTGAGGCTGAGTTACGAGCGAACGAGAGAGGGAGAGAGGTGTAGCAGAGAGAGAGAGAGGTTGTGGGGGCAGAGAGGTTTAGACGGCATACATAAAAGGGAGAGGACGTTTGTGTCTTTGTGTGTGAAAGAGGCGACCTTGGTCGACCCCTCCGCTGCTATGGCGCGGGGCGTGGCGCAGCTGACATGAGCTGCTTCCGAACCCGTGGAGTCTTCTCTCTGCCGTGGGCGGAGCCGCGGGCCGCGCACCCGCTCGTGTACATGTCGCTCATGAATCACATCACGACCGCGTCAGCTCATAGACTTGGAGGCTGCGGTGGCCCGCGGGGGGGCTATGCGGTTCACGCCGCGCGACCCGCCCCAGCCCCGGCCGCCGACATGGTGACGTCTCGGTGACACCTGTCCGTCCCCGGCGCGGCCACATGTTGCAGCAGCACAAGCAGCACCACCTCGCCAAAGCACTTCGACATCTCGCGGCGCGACAGCCACACTTCAACGTGGGAGCGAGGTATCTACCCTCGCGTCTCTCTCTCTCTCTCTATCCTTCCCTCCTTCTCTCTCCCTCCCCCTCGTTGCACGCCATGCTAAATGGCAGCCCCGCTCGCCCGCGACTGCCGGCAGAATAATCGACAAAGTAAAGTGGACACGACATGTCGTGGCGCGGCGCGCCGTCGTCGCGCCGCTTTCGTTTTCCGCCGTGGAGCAGCAGTGTACCTCAGGCTCAGGTACTGTACAGCCGTGCCGGCGAGCGAGTATAGGCCGCGGGCCGCGGCAGCAGTCCTGCACACGGCGAGCGGGTGACCTCTGCGCGGGATCAACCGCGGCGAGCGGGGCGCGTGTGTGTCCCTCGAGCACCTCAAGGCGGCTTCCGACGTGCCCCGCCCCGCCCCGCCCCGCCCCTGCGACATTACTGGCGCCTGCATACCGGCAGCAGCAGGACTCGGCGCATGGCGGGCGGGACGCCGTCATTCGCCATTCGTCACTTTGTCTCGTTTGTCGGAGCTATAAAACGCGCTGCTGCGGCGCGAATCTGGGACGCCCGCCAATGAGGCAAATTAATTGCCTGTATCCCCTCGCCTATCCGCCTAGCGTCACGTCAAAGCCGCACTGCTGTGCCGGGCGACCGCCGCGGCGGCCGCGCTTCTCGCGACCGCAGCCCTGAGCCGCACCGCGGCCGCCGGGGAGGATCGCTCCGCTCACCTCAGCGGCCACACCCCTCCTGCGGCTCCAGGCGGC